CTCAGATTTCAAGTCAAGCGCCATGCCAGGCCGATACGTGATAAGAACAGTTTTAAAACATAATGAATGAATGCACGTGAGCAACGCGTTCCGCAAATACCTTATATGACGCTGAAATAACAAGGATAACAACGTAATATACAAAATAACAGCAACCGTAGAGATATAATACAACGTTTTCTACCAAAATTGTACATTTATAACGACAAGTCGATTTTGCAGATAGGAGTTGAAAACGTGTTCATGTCTGAACACAAAGATAAAAGCACATTTGAATTGCTAATGTAGCATAAATTTATTCATGTCATAATTTGAAACAGCAGATTTGCTAATGTTATGTTAGGATTTAACAAAAACCACGACGATGCTGCGGACTAGAATAATTAAGAAAATACGTTTCCTCCCAAATTCCAACCCTCGCTGTTCTTTCCACCCGAGATGGCTTGCAAGGGAATATAAGTGATGATATTAAAAGTTTTTATTGGACTGCAATCATTTTAAAATTTGCATTTCATTTAATGTTTATAAACACAAGCTGTTCTTGGATGATAAAGGAAAGGAAACTGTTGTATCAGTGCGACTGTGGGGGAATAATTGTTTGTTTTGTTGAATTTCGCAAAAACTTACTCGAGGACTATCTGCGCTAGCCGTCCCTAATTTTGAGGAGAGAGAGAGAAAACATAGTTAATACTACCCACCGCTAACTCTTGTATTACAAATAATGTGATTGACTGTTACATTAAAACGCTCCCACGGCTGAAAGAGCGAGCATATTCTATGACAGGTTTCGATCTCACATCTCACATATTGCAATTCGAGCACCATAATCACCAGGCCATGCCAAGCTCCACGTGGGAGAAGATTAATGGGTTAAGGGATGTTCCAGAAATCGCTTGCCGCAGGGATTTTAATGATGTTATCCTATTATACAATAATTCCTTTAACTCCAATTATCTCTTATCTTTTGATTCCAGTGTCTTTTATAACGTATCTATATTAACTAAATGGTTATCATCATATAGTAAACTTACTTTAGTGTCAGTTTTAGATTTTGCAGAAGTCTTATCTCTATTACTACCAAGCCTATTAGCCACAATGATAACTTTGACCAAATGAGTTTATTGCACTTATTATTTTAAGCAGTTTTAATATTCAAGTTGTGATATATGATAGTTAATTGTGCAACTTTATATAAAGAGTGTCCCAAAAGTAAGTATACAGGTATATATGGATTTTCTTCTGGGGAGTACTCAAGAACAAAGTGTACAGTAAGAAATCGCGGAACGTTGACGAAATGAAAGGGTACATCACAGACGCATTTACAGAACTTGATGGACAGGGAGACTTGTGTCAGAAAGTTTGCAGAAGTGTGGCAGGCAGACTTCAGGATTGTGTGAACAGCGATGGGTTTCACTTTCCCATAATTCCATGCCATGTGTAAGGTGCCGTTAAATCAACTGTATGTCCACTTTTGGGCCACTCCGTATTGTACAAGTTAATTATTCATAATCTTAATATTCTCTTCAATGTTAACTATTTAGTACACGTTTTGTTGCGCCACAACGCTTATTGAAACGTATTCCTTTTATGCAAATATAACAGTTACCTGATGCGAGCTGTTATCGTTTCATTTGATCACAACGACTACCGATAACTAAACGTTACTTGGAATCTGAGAGTCTCTTCTTCCACCATGTCATCTGTTAACATGAAATTTGCTGCTAAATCTGACTTAATATAAAGTTAAGAAAATTAGAAGCTGGATACCTGCTCATCTTCAAATATAGAATACACCAATTTAGGAGCCTCTTTGAAACAAAACTTTCCAACTCATCAGTATTTTAATTTTAGATTATCATACAAATGGGCATTATTGTAACTTCTTTATACAGGTTAATATATAAATAGAAGAAAAAGCTTTTGGTTACAGAAAACACAATCAATAGCATTGTCCTAACCTATGGATAATTTCCAATAATATGATTTATAAATTTTAGTTCCAGTTGCTTAAAGCGCTTAAGTCATACTTTCGAAAGCAATATAGTGATGTTCCAGTAGAAAACAAATTGAAGAAATAACTCAAGAATCAAGAGATAATGAAATGCCTTCAAGCAGTGGAAGGTAGTTCTGTGATGTTGCGTTTGTCTGAAGTTGACGAATCGTTGAAAACAGAGGTGGCTGCTCTTGCTCGTCGGTTTCTATAAACCCTCAGTAACATCAAACCTAAGGCTCCGATCCATAAGAGGACATTCAACCAGGTAGCAGCCTAGTACAATTAAAAAAAAAAGTTTTGCCGAGTCATTTGTATGTGCACATACCATACCATTGTAATGTAAGTATTCATTTATTTAATTTGTGATAATAATATTATTATTATTTAAACATACAACCATTAGATAACTAACAATATCCATTCTTAATTTCAGCTGTAGCGCCGTCTGTTATTTAGCTGTTAATATCAGATAATTATATTTTTAACACCCAATACTTAACTAATGATATCTAATTCGAGGGAGGGGGTGGATTGGGTGAGCAACAGAAGGGTGTTACGATTGCTTGTATTTAAATTAGAACTAGACAAATGCACTCTGATAAAGGGTTCAATCTGGTCATACTAAAAAAAAAAAAAAAAAAAAGTAATCGTTGTTAAAAGAGCTCACCTCTCAACAGATTTAGGCCACGAAGATTCAGAGTTTACTAGGTTGGCCGGAATGTGGTCCTCTTGCACAAAAAAGCAGAAATTCATGTTCAGGCAGGTACCACACTTAGCCAATTGACAATGACAAATAAACTTCGTTAAGTCTTCCTTGGCCATTTCTTTGGAAAGAGATCGAGAAAACGATTTTATAGAACAAAGGAACTAAATGTTGAAATGCCCATCATGTGCAGCCAATAACGTGTTTTGCATGGGAAATTGAATGAAGTATGGGTTTTATTTCCTTAATGCTTGGAAACTCGTGTGAATTCGGCCACGCTAGTAGGAAATTCAGATTCCAGATATCGCAAGGAGCTTAAATCTATATTCAGAATTAAAGAAAAAAGTACTGAGAAGCTTTGTTTGGGAATTAACTCATTCTCACTCGCAGAATGGGTGTTAAAACAGTTGTGGTATCAATTTTACAAAACTTTGTGCACACGTCAGTAGTGTAAGCCACTATTTTCTACCGCACATATTTAAGTTATTAATAAATAAACTAAACCAGTTAACAAGGCAGACAAAATAGAAAATAAAAATGTTAATTTACTATTACTCTAAAAATCTGGATAATTATAGACATATGTACATAATTATTTAATTAATTTTATATTATTTTCTCTCGTTTGTTTTGTTCAAAATGTATACATTAAATTAGATTTGGTTTATTAACTCAGAGGCATTATGTTTCCAATCTCAGACTCTTCGATCCTCTAACCGACATGCAAAAGTCACGTCCGACCATAGCAAAAGGTAATGTTTTTTTTAAATTGAACAGTTAAAAGCAATTTTAAAGTAACAGCGAAGGTCAGTAAAATATCTAAAGTATAACAAAACAAATAATAACGAAATTAAAAATTTCCAATTTTGAGAAACATTTGTTACCTAGCAGAATGGAAGATCAGATATAATAACTTTTCGGTTCTTAGACCACTAACAAAATACACAATACTATTGATTTGTGTGTGTAACATGTGTCTATTCTTAAGAAGACATACGTTTATTAACTATCACAAAGATATTTAAAAAATTGTCAATTGTAAACAATGTCGTGAATGTTTTTTTTTCTTTTGTTTTTATAGCAAAACCACATGAGGGGGGTATCCGCTATGTCTGCCAAGGGAAATCGAACAAGTCTCTGGTTTTAGCGTTGTTAATCCGCAGACTTACGGCTGTTCCACCGGGGGGACCGCTCATAGATGGTCGAAGTAATGATGTCACGCAGTTTACATATTGAAACGCGTACAAAAATTAGCTTCGCTTGAAAAATGAAACAAAAAATATTTACAATAAATAACAAAGATGTGGGTAAAATTCTCTTAATATCATCATCACATAAGTTTAGTCACTTCGGCAGGTTTGATCCCGTGGCTTAAGGTGTTGACATACGTTACACTGATAACTGCAGAGTTGTTCTGTTTGCATTAATATCTTGTTGTACAATTCATCATTGCTGTGGTTTTATCTTGTTTAAGAAAGTTCTTCACAATCCTAGCAATATGACACCAGACATTGTTCAATGTAGGGACAATGTCTAATCCGAATACGTTCGTGAAAAGTCGCACAGATAAGACCAAAACCATTCCACTGTAATGTCAAGCAATAATAATGGCTCTCAGTAGCACAATATGATTTATACACGCACTCATAGTGACGTATCCACAAGATGTTAAACTGAACGTACTCTGCTCTGGCTCTTCATATACAAATCCATTTATCGTTGGTAGAAATATCAAACCTTATCTGCGGAGTGTACTGGCGTCCAGTTTTGTTGCTATCAATACAATGGGCCTAGACAGGAGTCTGAATGAGCTTTGTAGAATTGTGTTGCCCACATTGGGGCTTGAGAAGGTCTTCTCCACCTTAAAGAAGCCTCCTGAAGTCAGTTTCTAACTGTTGGTTCTAGTAAACCTTCCAATTTATCTCCTGAAATTGACAATGGTGGCGAACTGGCGATATATAATGGCCATGTTGTGTAGATAGTAGTCACTACGTGTGGGAGTAGGTCTTCACGACCTGGTTAAGGTTGTCTAGTGTACAAACCAGTTGTATGATGGCTATCTTAAACCTTCTTACTTTAGAATCGGATACACCAAGTTTCCACTTATCTGGTATCCGACAGAAGAACAGTTCTGACACACTGTTCGTTTGTTTAAAAACCTTCACCCGTTACCTGAAGGCAACATGATCTTACGGTTAAGCAGAAGTTATAATCCAAGTACACAGAAGTGGGAGTAATGATTTTCTGGACAGGCGTAGTAGATACAAAATGCAAAAGGTGAATATAGGTGGCTTACCCAGCACATGAATTTCATAATATTCTGTCTTGTTCTCAGAGTATTCGCAGGCTCATTTAAATTATAGAAACTTTCAAATACGTTGAGAGGTGGATTAACTCTTCCGGAGTGTCCTGGTTGATCTAAACCATCCAAGTATTTATTCCATACAGAAACAAACTCGGAAGAAATAACACATGTTAGTGCAGTCGTTTAAGTTGCAGCCTTCTAGAGCTCTAGTTTTGTTTAGTCAGATGTTTTATATTAGTAATTTGACTTTTTTTGGTAAATATAGGACTAATAGTACATTCTTTTCCATTTTCCATTAATCTGTGCTTTAGAATAAAACTAAGTTATATATACACCACACTGGTAAGACATTAAAGATGTAAACATTTAATGTGCGGTCTGAAAAAATTACACCCAAATTGTATTTCAAAAATCGATATGTTGATAGCTTCGTGTGTTCTATTATGAAAATGCATAGCTGTTACAAGGAATGTGAACATAGCCACGCCATTAATAAAAATCGTGCTTTCTAAAGTCTTCATCAGAAATTATAAGTCAGTTTTTATACCGGTTGTGAAAGTTGATGATATTATGAATCAAGTAGTTGTAAGTGCTTATAAAATACTTGGTCACCTTTGAATATTCTCGCCTTGTTTTATGTTCCTGATGTACTGAAGAGCTGCATGGACAATAAGTAAAGACCCAGAATGACTTCGTAAACTAAAGCATAACGAGTTCTAAATTTTTGCATAACGACACCAAGCGAAAGAGACCAGTTAATGAATATGTGTTAAAAAGTGGATCTGTTAATTAGCAAATGTTAATGAAATTTGATCATCGATATTAAGAGATGTTTACATTCCTATCATTAGCATAATTCAATTAGTACTTTAAACATAAAAGCTTAACAAGAAATGAAAATATTAATTGATAAAAAAAAACATTATTAAAAAACAAGAAAGAAATATGTTTCAATAATTCAAAAAATATTCCATACTTGCGAGCACTACTGGAGTACAAAGTTTTTCAAATTGGCTCTTCACAAGTAGTGGTTGGAATGCTGTTAGGATTTCCTTTAAGTTTTCATTCTTATAATCCACCATATATCTTAAGGAGCGTATCTGACTTACAAGTTCCAAGGTGCATGTAAAGAAGTTACAACATACACCTCCTAATCCATAATAGCATGATACTCAAAATTAACGAAATATATTTATTCGTATTCATGGAAGTATAAATCACTGGCATCACTTACAAGTTTCATTTAATGCAAGACTTACAGGGCATGAACTTCTTCCTTAACTAGCAATTACTAACACAAATGGAACCTTATACACTAACGGCAACTTATGCTCACGTGGGTTAAACGGCTAAGTGAAAGGACCCGAGAGATATATAGATTTAGTTCAGATTTAAGCGCTAACTTTCCTTCTAGTCAAACACGTTAATTTCAAGTTTGTATCAATTATGAGACTGACAACCGTTTCCTCTTGTGGTGATTAAAGAGTATGTAAATAATGATCACATGATTTGACATCTAGTGAATAAAAACACTGTCATGAGCATGGATAAGTTAGATCACGAGACATATAGAAGTCACTAATTTTACTTGTTGACAAGAAGGAAGGAAAACAGACATCAGCAAACGCCGTTACAAGGAGTTTGCAGGCACTTTGAATTCGATAAGGTGACTGAATGTAAATATTCATCAAAGTGAATATTTGACGACATTTTTGGTATCTTTGTCGGTAGCTGATCCGAAATTGACACCTTTTCAAAAATGTCATCTTTCTTTAAGTTTAAGCTGGCATGATTCCACTAACAACCTTTCTTTTCTTGGTGTAGATATCACCACAAACAACGAGAAATCGAAAAACTTCTGCTTATTATCACTCATCCACCTATCCTCTTTCACTGTATTCCATCCACTAATATCACGTTTTTGACGTTTATAGTATATTTGAAGTGATCCTAGTGACTTTGTTTCTAAATCAAAATATTTAACAATTTTTTTTCTCCGCGTGTCTACCCCAAACCTTTCCTACATAAAGCTTTTAATAAAGCCTATCACAAACCTCGTACCTTTACATTTCAAAGATTTCCGAAAAATAACCAACAGAAACTTACCTTAACGATTCCCTACCACAAATTGCTAATGTAATAATCGACACATTTAATATCCTGCAGACTAATCAACCTTATAGAAAAGTTCACTCCAAAACTCGTAGATGCTAATATCCATAACACTCGTCTTCAAGATAGATTTGTTCGAGCCAACTTTAACAACCAGGTTCGCCCTGACACTTCCACCAGACCACGCTGTGCAATAAACTAGCACAAGGACAATCGAAATTTCATTGTTGGTCCTGGTAGCATATTCATGTAAGTGAGCCTTTTACCTGTCTTTCAGAATCCGTCATTTACTGTATTATTGGTAATCTTTGTAACTTACTGTAAATTAGTGAAATTTAGTGAAGACCTTATCAATGGAAATTTTGATTTTCCAGTACAGAAACAATTTCTTCGCAACCACAAACACGATTTACTACACATTAACACAATCATACTGAGATCTGCCCCTACTGATCACTGCCTACAGGAACACGAAGAACAGCGTCTAATTTACACCTTAAGAACCCTTTCTCCATTAGGCTTAAATAATAAAATTTTCATTTCCGCAATAATTTTTTCATTCTAATGCATTTTCTATCCACAAGTGTATATCCTGTTCATTTTTTAAAAATATTTATAATTCAATATTTATGATAAGTTTATTTAATAGTTTTATGTATTTTTAAATCAAATTACCTTTGAACTTTTAACGTATTCTTTATTTTTTCTGCCAGAATGCTTTAGACCAGTAGTTCTCAAACTGTATTGCACGAAACCTCGTGGGTTCCACAGAACCA